TGAATTGGATCGTTTGGAATCTTTATTTAAAAATTTTACAAATATTGATAAGCATTATAAAAGTAACCCAGACATAATTGATATTTTCGTTTTGAGCAATGAACTATGGCTTGTAGGAAAAAGAATTGAAATTGTATTTGAGAAAAATTTAGAAAATCTTGATTTAGAATATAAAAATGATTGTTTGCCAAATGATATAAAATGCAAAATTTTTGAATTATTTAAAAAGTTATTGGGTTTTTACAAAACAAACAAGGAAGCATTTAAAAATTTTATGTTCTCTTTTGAGAATTCGTTGGATATTAAAAATCTAAAAATTTCTTTCCAGAATCTTATTGAAAAAATAAAAGAAAGAATTGAGAAAAGTTTAGATGGAAAGGAAAACGAATTTTTCTTGGAGAAATATACACAGGTTATTTTTCTTAACAAAGCATTAGTTCTGTGCTGGTTCATGCCAAAGCTGGAGACGGGGAAATTTTGAAAAGAACCGGAGCCAGAAAACGTCAAATGAATAGCACACGAAATATTCTATAAGAAATATTAAAACACTTTTAGTATAAAAACTAAGGATCTTGCAATCTCGGAAAGCAATTCCCTATTTTTGTTAGTAAAAGTATTGTAAAATTATATTTAATTAAATTTTAGAATGATACTAAATTCTACCGCTTAGTTGAAATTGTGGAAGCTATAAAAATTGGTATTAAATTAAATAATGAACTTAATACAAAAAGTAAAGATAAAAGTGTTAAAATGGATAATCTTATTAAAAATCTACTAGCAGTTTTGCAAGGATTTGGATATGAATTTGGAATAAAAGGCATAGAAATAGCAGCAAAACAATTGGTAGAAATAGAGGAAAATAAAATTCCAGAAATTTTTAAAACTTTAACCAAAAGAGAATATAATTCTGAGAACGAAAGTGATGTTATTGAATTTGAATTTCTTAAAGAAATTAGTAACTTGATTTTATATTTTAATGAATATAAACAAGAAACTGAAAATAAATACAAACAAAACAAGGAAACTAGTCCGGAAATGTTTCAAAAAGATAAAATAAACGATGCTAATTCAGAAATTAATAGTTCTGTTGGGAAAAATGAAACAGATGGAAGTGACGACGACGAAGGAAAATTTGGGACACCAAAAGGTTCAACTGAATCCTTTAAAAGTGTTCAAAGTAATGCTAACTAAACAATCTACATAAAGATAGAGATGATTTTATGGAGGTGAATATAATTTTGATAAATACATATAAATAAAAATTTTATTAAATTTACAGAAAATATCCCTGGCTGCGGAATGATATTGTGAGGAAAAAAGCGATTGTATAGTATACAATCATGTAAATATTTTTGGTTATTTTATTTTTTTTAATTTTTTCCTTAAAGTAAGGATTATTTTATTATTCTTTGGTGGACCCTTTAAAATTGACAAAAATTTTATTAAAACAAATCAAAGTTTTTATCACTAAAACTTTAAATTTTTGTCAATTTGTATTATTTTACCCGCATTTTTATTAACAATTTATTTTGGCAAATTTATTCTGAAACAGCCCACAATTACACATTTATTTTTAAGCCCCTATTCTTAAACACACATTTAATTTTTACCTCATAAAGGATGTTATTTTAAATTTTCTTTTTTATATTATTTAAAAATACATATACCTACTATTTTTAAAAATTTATTTTTAATTTTTATTATTTATTTATTATGGATAAAATTACTATTTTTAATTTAACAAACTAATTTTATTCAAGCTACATATTTATTTTTAATTTATTTTTCAAAGTCATTTATTCATCATCCCCACATTCAACATTTTGAGCCTTTGGTTTAGGTGATGGAAAAGGTTTAAATGTTGGACGATGTTTACGTGTTGGATGTGGATGTTTTGAAGGGTGTGGAGGGTGTTTTGGATGTTTATGGTGGTCGTTATTCTTTAAATTAATTAAAAGGATTTTTAATTTTAAATTAAAAGAAAACCTTTGCCAAACTTCCAGCAATTATTAAAAGAATTGAAAATAAAATTAAGAAAAATTTACAATTCATTTTTTTAGATTAATTAATTCAAGAGGAATTTGTGTTAATTATTAACTAAAATTTAATTCTTTATAAAGCCAATTAATTAACAGATGTTTAAACAAAATATTTTTTAAAATTATTTTCGATAATATTTTTATAGAAAAAAGCCTACGTATTTTAAAAAGTACTTTACTTATATTTTCGATAATGTCTAGAAAAATTAAATATTTTTTAAATTATAAATAAAAACAAATATATTTATGAATAGTTTTAAAATATGTATGTAAGCGAAGTGTGGATCGCTGGCTATTGGGCATTTGTTTACTCCAGCTCCGATCTTTTTCAACCTTGCGCTGGCTCCGTGATTTTCAAAATCTTAGCTCCGACACAAGCTCAGCCGGAAGCTCAGCCTTAGGTTTACTCCAGACACACAATCCCATACATGCTATTTCTTGACATTCCGTTCTATGAAAAAATTCTCCAAGACAGGAGAATTTTCCATTCAAATTACTACTTACATATCCCCATTTTCCTTGCCTTTCCCTCCACTCTTCACCTCACACTAAAATTCTAATTTTGACTGTATTTTAGCACTCGTTGTTTATCGCTTTACTATTTTTAAAAATATTAATTTAATTATTTTAAATTTAATTTTTAAATTATTTAAAAATTAAATCGATTTAATTAAAAAAATTTGTCGATGGAGATGGTTGGAGAGTAAAAATCAATGAAAATTTTCCTCGTGAATCTTACACATGATTTTCCATTAAGCATTCTCTCCCCAATTTTCAATACCCCCCCCCCCTTCCTCCCTCCCCCTCCCCCCTTCCATCCCCTCCCCTCCCTTCACTCCCTCCCCCCTTCAATTCTTTGTCTTCTTCTTCTTTTGTCTGACACTCCCTTCCCTCTCCTTTTTTAAATTAAATAGAAAAATTATTTAAGAGTCTATTCATTGTTGAATATTTTAATTTTTTAAATTTATTATTGTAAAATTACCCAAAATTAATAAATATAGAAATAATAAAAATTTCAAGATTTCTTTGAATCCCTTTTCAATTTTCCAAAGTTTTAACTTTCAAAATAAAAATTAATTTAGGAGGAGGTGAAATAAATTTAAATTTTAATATTTTATATGTATAAAAATATAAGAATTCCTCGTTTTACCCCTCACTCAACCCATTCACCTTCCATTTCCCCAATTTCCTTGCCTTTCCTTCTTCCTTCACCTCACACTAAAATTCTAATTTTACTGAATTTTATCGGCAAATGATATTTTAACACGCGTTGTTTATCGTTTGCCGCATTATGTTTTGCGTTAAATTTTAACTTTACGTTGAGTTTTTTGGTAATTTGAAAAACATACACAAATTTACGGTCAACTTAAATGATAGGAATTTTAGTAATAAAAGTTTGGAATTAAAACATAAAGAAAAGAAATTTGTGGAAACTTTATGAGATGTTTATGGATTCATTTAATATTTTATTATTCTATGGCCGCCTTACTATTTTTAAAAATATTAATTTAATTATTTTAAATTTAATTTTTAAATTATTTAAAAATTAAATTGATTTAATTTAAAAAATTTGTCTATGGAGTTGGCAGGGGAGTAAAAATCAATGAAAATTTTCCTCGTGAATCTTACACATGATTTCCATTAAGCATTCTCTCCCCAATTTTCAATACCCCCCTCTTCCCTTCCCTTCCCTCCCTCCCCTCCCTTCCCCCCTCCCTCCCTTCAATTTTTTGTCTTCTTTTTCTTTTGTCTGACACTCCCTTCCCTCGCCTTTTTTTAAAATTTAAATAAAATTTTTTAAGAGTCTATTCATTGTTGAATATTTTAATTTTTTAAATTTATTAATGTAAAATTAGCCAAAATTAATAAATATAGAAACAATAAGTTTTTCTGATTCCTTTGAATCCCTTTTCAATTTTCCAAAGTTTTAACTTTCAAAATAAAAATTAATTTAGGAGGAGGTGAAATAAATTTAAATTTTAATATTTTATATGTATAAAAATATAAGAATTCCTCGTTTTACCCCTCACCCACCCCATTCACCTTCCATTTCCACAATTTCCTTGCCTTTCCTCCTTCCTTCACCTCACACTAAAATTCTAATTTTGACTAAATTTTATCGGCAAATGATATTTTAACACTTATTGTTTATCGTTTGAAGAATTATGTTTTGCGTTAAATTTTGATTTTAAGTTGAGTTTTTTTATTATGTTGGCAAAAACTTAAATGCTAGGAATTTTAGTAATAAAAGTTTGGAATTAAAACATAAAGAAAAGAAATTTGTATAAACTTTATGAGATCTTTAAGGATTAATTTTTTTTAATATTTTATTATTTTATAGGAAAGGGTTTGGCCACCTTGCTATTTTTAAAAATATAATTTAATTATTTTAAATTTAATTTTTAAATTATTTAAAAATTAAATCGATTTAATTAAAATAATTTGTCGATGGAATGGCCGGGGACGATTTACATATGATTTGCCACTAAGCATGTCTAGACTTAACTCCGCAATTTTCAATACCCCCCCCTCCCTTCCCTTCAATTTTTTGTCTTCTTTTTCTTTTGTTTGACACTCCCTTGCCTTCCCTCCTCTCCTTTTTTTAAAATTTAAATGTAAAAATTTTTTAAAGAGTCTATTCATTGTTAAATTTTTCTAATTGAAATTAGCCAGAATTAATAAATATAGAAATAATAAAATTTTCCAGATTTTCTAAAATTCCTTTTCAATTTTCTAAATTTTTACTTTTATTATAATATAAAAATTAATTTATGAGGAAGTAAAATAAATTTTAATTAACCATTGAGAGTGAGGGTGTAGGTCCGAGGTATTTTCTGATATTCCGGTATTTCGGACCTGAAACCCGACATTTTTTATAATTTTATTCCATAAAAAGAAGAAATATGATTTTCAAACTTTTCGCCTTTTTAATTGTAAATTATTTTTATTTTTTCAGAAAAAATGAAGCCAAAAATTGGCATCATTTTATCATTTTTCATTTTGATGTGGAATGTTTGTGATTTCACTAAATTATCACCCCCATCTCCAAATTCGGTTTTGCCAGGGAATGGATTGAATGAAACTTCTAGCTTTTCTGAAAGTGAATCTGAAAGTTCTTCCCCAACACACAAAACTAATGGAGAATTAGCTAGTAATTTATTGGAATCTGCTGAATTTTATTTGAAACAATTAAATGCTAATATTCAAGAAGCTAAAACTTCAATAAAAGGAAAAATAATTAAAAATTTAAATGAAAAATCTTTTCATCTTAAAAATGGTAAAAAAGAAAATAATGCTGAAAGAATGATTGAAAACCCGAATTTTGAAGCAAAATTTGAAAAAGAAAAAATAAATATTAAAAATAAATTATCAAACCTTCTCGAGGGATTCAAGAAACAATACAAAAATTTAAAAGAAAATATTAAAAATTATGGATCACTACAATTAACAGAATATGACGATAAAAATATTTTAGAAAGAGGAATTAATTTATTATTAATTATTGAAGAATATATTGAAAGTAAAGAATATTCTCATTTAATATTTTTAAAAAAGTTTCGAGAACAAATTAAAAGGGCTCTAAAACAATTCAAGGACTCCGTTGAGACAATTAATATACTGAATAACTTTAAGCATAAAGAACGTATATTTAATGCAAATAATATTTACGATCGTGGATATTTAAAAAAAGAACAAGATAATTTAACTATAATGTTAAGAGATCAAAGAAAGAACAAAGAAGAATTAAGAAATTCTGTAGGACATATTGAAGGAATAATTGTTAGAGCTCGACAAACTGTAAACGGTGTAATGAGAGGAATAGTTGCTGAAAAAGTAAATATAGCAAATAAAATGAATGTGAAAACAAAAATTCCAGTCCCTATTTTTGAAAATTCCACCCAAAAGTTAACTAGATTTCCAATTTTCGGTAGCCATGGCCTCTTAATCTGATTTTCCAATTTCATAAAATACAATTAAAAATAACAATTTAAACATTTTTAATAGATTAGGGCCTTGGGAGAACAAAGGTAATATCTCAGAGAGTAGTAAAAAAGTCTATTAGAAAAATTGTGAAACTAAAGGAAAACCCAAACTTGGTAATGGATATGGATACAAAGAATATCAAGGTGCCTGCGGATATCCGCCTGAATCCGCCGTAAATATCCGGATACGGATACGAAAATCCATATCCATTACCAAGTCTGGGAAACCCAAAATAATTTAAAATCCAGTTATATACATATAAAATTGAATTCCAGGAATATGAACGTTTATTTCTTTTGGATAGAATTGAATTTTTATCAAAAGATTTGGAAGCAATTTATAATTTAATTGAAAAGAACCCTAACCAAGATATTGTAGAATTAAGCCATATATTTTGGTTAATTGGAAAAAAATTAGAAATTATATTTGGTGAAAGGTTAAGAGAACTTTTTGGGGAATTTGATTCCGGTTGGCCTATTGATAAACAAAAAGTTGATAATTTAGAAAAAGTAACAGAATCATATGAATTCAATCTTTTTAAAGCAATTGGAGAAATGGTTGATTTCTATAATACAAAAAAGAAAAAGATTCTGACAATTTTAAATACTATACAGATGGTTGAAAATAACGGTAAATTAATCATTAGAGATAAGTTTAAACTATTGGTTGTGTTACCATTATTTCAAAGTCAAGCTAATTTTGAAGGATTTTGGTTCAGTTTTCAAAAAAATTTAACGTGCCTAAAAGAGGGGATTTTAAATAGGGAGAGAGTTTTAAATAAAATCCGGATCCTATGAAGTTGGAAGGGTTTGAGTAGTAAATTAATAAAGAACGGGTGTCTACTACTACGACGGCTTCTTTTAGTTCTTTACTGAACCTGAACCTTAATTTTAAAAATTGGCAGGGATAAATCAGAATTCCGAACCAACTCTGATGAATAGAAATATAAATAAAAAAATAAAATTTTATTTTAGTTTTGGTTGACCCTTTTGAATCTAAAATGTTTGAATATATAGAAGCAAATAAAGGATCATTTCCTCATGGTTTTGCTAATTTATACTTTGATAATCAAGATAATCAAGATCACAAATCTAAAAAATTAAGTGAAATAATTTCATTTGAAAGTTTGTCAAAAATATTAAATGAAAGAATGAAGGAAAATCTGTTAGGAAAGGGAAGAATATTTTTAATTGAAAAATATTTGTATAGTGAAAAGGTTGAGAAAGATGAGGTAATTTTTTAAAATTTACAGTTGAGATCATAATTAGAGTTGACCAACAAAAATTAAAAAATTTAAATTCAGAGAATTAAAGAATCTGATCGAGTATCCAAATTAATGGTTGTTTTGCTTGCTGCTGTACGTTTACATATTAAACTCCAAGCTTTGTATATTAAAAAGGAAAATTTTGAAATAGTATCAGGATACTATAAGAATTTATCAGAAATTATGAAAGTAAAAGTATTTAAATATTCTGAAATTGATCATTCAAAAGCAATAAAATTGAAAGAAGCTAAAGAAATGAAAATACCGAAACTTTTTAAGGAAATAACTAAAAGAGATTTTGATTGGAATAATGAAAATGATATTATTGAAATTAAAATGCTTAAAACAATTGGTTATTTGCTTGATTTTTATTTTATTAAAGTTCAAGAAAAAAAATAAAATCTTTGCAAAAACAATCAACGGCAAGTGGAAACTAAAAACAAAGGAAAAAAGAAAGAATGGAAAAAAGAAAAGGACGAGGATTTTCGGTTCGGTTCCGGATATCCGAAGATTTCACAGACATACAACCTAAAATTTCACAAACATACAACCCCCCTCCCCCCCCCCCCCCCCAAATTTCATCTTTTTAAATCGAGTGTTTATTAATCAATTTTTTTTTTGAATTTCCCCTAAAAAGTTTTAAATTTATTTGTACCCGAAAACTACACTAGTTTTTGCCTTATTTTTAAAAGAATTTTTCACCTTCTATATTTTTAATTTTCTCCCTAAGCGTTTAAATTTATTTGACTTTTTTTACTTTTACTCACCATATGTACATTCAAGTTATTTACACCAGGGATTATGTAAAACCCTAAACATTTACCTCAAAATTTTTGACCATTGACAAAAGATAATCTCTCTAATACATCACCTCTAGTTCCAAATTCAGTTAACCTGTGAAGGAAAGTGATATGGGAAGGGTGACATATTAGAGAGATTAAACTGTACATATATTTTTTTATTTAATTCATTTATTATTTAAACAAAAATTTCGTCTCTTTTATTTTTTTAAATATACTTTTTTGGACCCTATACAAAATTTAAAATTTTTTAATCAAGAGTTTTTTAATTTACTTTGTAAACGAATTTTTAAATCTTCAGTTTTAAATTTCTTTTTAAAGTTTCTAAATTTATTCGTCATTTTTTTAAACTTTTTATTTATACATTTAAGTTATTTACGCCAAATATTTTGTAAACTCCTAAACACGCATAACCTTAAGATTGAGCATTCCTTCCCGCTACACAGTTTTCATCTTTTAAATCAAATGTTTTTTGTAGTGTAGCAACCCGATCTCTTCAGGGTCAAGATAGTCGGGGATCGAGACTTCGAGGGACTTCTGATTTTTATAAACCCCGGCAATCTAGTCATTATTTTAACTAGGTGATTGCAGATTCTGGATAAACGAAGTGATCTAGTTGTATACGGAGTTGTTGTATACTTATAACGTTATTATAATGTAAGGGTCATTAATAAATTCCATTCGGATTATTTCCGTTATTTTGTTACGTAATAACAGTTTTTCTGTAACAGACATAGCTTCAAATTTAATGCCCTAGAAAATCATAAACATGACAAATCGAATTTGATTAAATAATGGGCGAGACTTTCTAAGCAACATTAATGCAAAATACCGTATTTGCTCTAGTAATCCCCCAGGGGGATTATTGTTTCAACCCATCTCCAGGGTGGGGGATTAATAGAGCCTGGGGGATTAATAAAGGACTGGGGGATTAATAGAGCAAATACGGTAATTATTTTTATTATTATTTAATTTAACAGACTAATCTACGTGAAAAATTATTTATTTTTAATTTATTTTTCAAACTCATTTATTCATCATCATCCCCACATTCAACATTTTGAGCCTTTGGTTTAGGTGATGGAAAAGGTTTAAATGTTGGACGATGTTTACGTGTTGGATGTGGACGTTTTGAAGGGTGTGGAGGGTGTGTTGGGTGTTTTGGATGTTTATGGTGGTCGTTATTCTTTAAATTAATTAAACGGATTTTAATTTTAAATTAAAAGAAAACCTTTGCCAAACTTCCAGCAATTATTAAAAGAATTGAAAATAAAATTAAGAAAAATTTACAATTCATTTTTTTATTTTATTTTAATTTAGGAGGAATTTAAGTTTGTGTTAATTATTAACTAAAATTTAATTCTTTATAAAGCCAGTTAATTAACAGATGTTTAAACAAATATTTTTAAATAATATTTTTTAATTATTTTCAAACCTACTCATTTTATTTTGTACTTTATTTAAATCTTTAAAATTTATATAATTTTCAATAATATTGTCTAGAAAATTTAAATATTTTTTAAAATTAAATAAAAACAAAAAATATAAAAATATTTTTCCTAATATTTTAATTTGCACTTAACTCACCTGTTAACTAAAATCCTTATTTTTAACTATTTATAAAATTAAAAAAACAGTCTGAAAAATCGGTGTATATATAAATTATTTGAAATTAAATATTTTTAAATTAATTCCCAAATTCATTAAAAAATAAAAATAAATAATTAACACAAACTTAAATTCCTCTTAAATTAAAATAGAATCTAAAAAAATGAATTGTAAATTTTTCTTAATTTTATTTTCAATTCTTTTAATAATTGCTGGAAGTTTGGCAAAGGTTTTCTTTTAACTTAAAATTAAAAATCCTTTTAATTAATTTAAAGAATAACGACCACCATAAACATCCAAAACACCCAACACACCCTCCACACCCTTCAAAACGTCCACATCCAACACGTAAACATCGTCCAACATTTAAACCTTTTCCATCACCTAAACCAAAGGCTCAAAATGTTGAATGTGGGGATGATGATGAATAATTTAAATAAATTGATATACCTAAATTTTTTTTTGTTTAGGTTAAATATAAAATAATTATAAGCATTAGGCATATTTAATTATAAATTTAAAGTTAATTTTTTTATATAAATGAAGCATTTAATTTAATTTGATGTATGAGTAAAAGAGTTTAGCAAGAGTCTAGCCACCGGCAGGATTCAACCTGCGATAGCGCCTTATGTGATTTCTGTAGGTGAACTCATAGTTATGTGGAGGGTGTTCTCTGAAAAAATTGGATAAAAAATTTGTAAATGGAAATTTTTCGATTTCTCGGGTTTATATGAATTAATACCCGCTTTAATAAATACAAAATAAAAATCAGCCCGATTGATTTGATAGAAGTTAATAAATTCGAAAATTTATGGTGAACTTATAGTTATGTGGAGCAGTTTATTTCAAATTATTGATAAATAATATCCTTTCATGTTAATTATTGATACATAATATCCTTACCTATAGTCTACCAAAATTTGAAACACATCCATTTAATATTTGGTAGGATATTGATAAAAACTAGGTGGCGCTATCATTTTGTTACAGACGTACATATTTTAAAATTCAAAATTTTCGTTTTTAATTTTTTATCTATTTCAAAAATTTATAAAATAATAAATATTTTAAATTAATTTCAATCTCTCTACTTAACAATAAAAATCAAAAATATTTATTCAAAATTTCTATGTAGATTTATTTTGTAAAAACTGTAACATTAAAGAATCCATTTGCCAGAGATCAAAAAATTGAACAATATGGTGACTTTCAACAAAAGTATTTGCTGTATCCTTTAAAAAAATTTCAATAATTTTCAAAAAATAATTACAATAATCGGTGTTAATAATAAAATAAGATT